AACATAGACCTACTGGCCAGTGGTGGCATCATTTTGAACAACTATTATGTGTCGCCCATATGTTCGCCATCGAGAAGTGCTATCCTAACCGGTTATCATCCCATCCATACGGGTCTACAACACGATGTCTTCTACGGCGCCGAACCCTTCGGAACACCTCTTCAGCACAAAATGTTACCACAATTTCTGAAGGGTTTGGGATACGAGACACACGCTGTGGGCAAATGGCATCAGGGCTTCTTCCGCAGCGAATACCTGCCGACGCGACGAGGCTTTGACTCGCATTTCGGGTATTGGACGGGACATGAAGACTATTGGGACAGGACTTCAGCGGAGAACTGGTGGGGCATTGACTTCAGAGACAACGAAAAGCCGGCAAATATCACAGAATATGTGGGATTGTATTCAACGGATATCTACACGAATAAAGCGATTGATATAATCAAGAGAAGCGCCAATTCATCGAAACCATTGTTTCTGTATTTAGCGCATCAATCGGTTCACGCGGGCAACGGTCGCCAACCCCTTCAGGCGCCGCAACCATATATCGATAGATTCAAGACTATTGAAGACATAAGAAGGCGGACATTCGTGGGGATGGTGTCAGCGCTGGACGACTCGGTGGGCGAAGTGTTTGCCGCCCTTCAAACGGCAGACTTATTGAATGAAACCATAATTATATTCACTACCGATAACGGAGGCGCCACTGGGGGTGCAGTTCCTGGTGTTAGCATTGATGGCAGTATTGGATCAAATTGGCCGCTAAGAGGTTAATATTAATTTACTATAAATTATGGATAGTTTTAAACTAATTATGAGTTTAGGTGCAAAATATACATTATATGAAGGAGGCATTCATGCCATTGGTTTCGTATGGAGTCCACTGTTGAGGAAGAAATACATTAGCGAACACTTAATACATGCCACCGATTGGTTACCCACTATATATAGCGCAGCCGGTGGTCAACCCAAAGACCTGGGACCCATTGATGGCATAGATATGTGGGATATTCTTAACGACAACTTAGCTAATCCTCGTAAACAATTGTTGCATAATATCGATCCCATTTGGGGTGTCTGGGCGCTCAGGTATGGAGACTACAAACTAATATCGGGAACAGTTTTTAATGGAGACTTTGACGGCTGGTTTTTGCCACCCGGAGAAGCGAATAATACTGACGATTATAATAATTCAATAGACAATCAAGTGCTATTATCCATCAAATATAAAGATTCAAAAGTTTTCAAAGTATTAAAGCAAAGAAATATCGAAACAATAGAAGTGAAGAAAATAGTCTTGAAATGCAATTCCTCTCTGAAGACAGAGTGTGTGCCGACAGTAAAGCCGTGTCTTTTCGACATTAAGTCAGATCCGTGTGAATACAATAATATATTTCAACTAAAGCCCGATATTGTCCAACAAATGCTGGAATTATTGAGTGTTTATAATGCGAGTGCTATCTCACCCGGCAATCAACCAAATGATAAACAGGCAAATCCTGTATTTCATAATTATATGTGGGATTCTTGGAGGTGAAAGGAAATGCCTTATCATTTGTTAACCCTTTCGGCTATATTTTTACTGACAGTTCATTGATTTCCAAATATGACAGTATTTTTTAAATTCTTATTAAAATATTTGAAATTATCGATATTCAGTGCAATTAATACTCGATTAAATCTTTATAATTGTTTCAAAAACAACTCATTAATAGCATATTTATGCATATTTGTTTGTCTGATCTGACCTCCAATTTTAATTGATAATTTACTGCTTTGAGTGCCATACATTATATGGTATTGTCAATTTATAATAGACAATACAATCATATATCAAAGTATGAAAGTCACCATCTGAATAAATATAAGTTAACTAGAATTTAAACATTCAATTTATATATTAATGCAAACAAGTATTGGCCATCAGTTTGACAAAACTCTTTGATATTTGAAGTCAAAGTAATATAACTGCAAATGAGATACATTTCAAGAGTCGCATAAAGACTGTATAAAGAAATGAAACCAAATAAGTGTACAAATCTGTATTAATATACCTGTAGTCACTAATTATTAGTGACTTTAATTTTAACTATCGCTTTCATCAGAACTGCCATTCCTATGGATTCAATGACATTCACATTTTGGTCAACATATCTGACTAGAGATTAAACATATTTTCTTATATTTCTTTTTTAATACTTTCCTTTCAAACCACTTCTTACATAATGTGCTTTGCCTCGTGTCTTAAGAAAATCTTATGTCTTATATGATATAAGTTATATATCTATTGTGAAAATGTTAATAAAGTTATTTACCTTGCTTTAATGCAAAAGTTTATTAAATGATTATGATGAGTTTGAAAGTACAGAATATATTGATCAATTTCTATGCATTCTGCTTAATGGTTGAGCCAATAAAATCACTTTTTAATGTACCAAAGAAACCTAATATTGTATTTATTTTAGCCGATGACTTAGGTAATTAATTATTATTATTTATATTTATATTGTAATCATTAAAGAAATTTAAAAATTGATCCAGGTTGGGGAGACGTCAGTATTCACGGCTCCAATCAGATTAAGACACCAAACATTGATCTATTGGCGAGTAATGGCATCATTTTAAACAACTATTATGTTTCGCCGATATGTAGCCCATCGAGGAGTGCACTCCTCACGGGCTACCATCCCATTCACACCGGCTTTCAACATAATGTCATTTATAACGCCCAGCCCTGGGGTCTACCCCTTCAGTTCAAAACACTGCCGCAATACTTGAAACCATTTGGTTACTCGAGCCATATTGTGGGCAAATGGCACTTAGGCTTCTTTAAGAAGGAGTATTTGCCTACAAAACGAGGATTTGATTCTCACTTTGGCTTCTGGTCGGGACATACAGACTATTACGACAGGAGTTCCGGAGAGAAACCCAATGNATTCACATTTTGGTCAACATATCTGACTAGAGATTAAACATATTTTCTTATATTTCTTTTTTAATACTTTCCTTTCAAACCACTTCTTACATAATGTGCTTTGCCTCGTGTCTTAAGAAAATCTTATGTCTTATATGATATAAGTTATATATCTATTGTGAAAATGTTAATAAAGTTATTTACCTTGCTTTAATGCAAAAGTTTATTAAATGATTATGATGAGTTTGAAAGTACAGAATATATTGATCAATTTCTATGCATTCTGCTTAATGGTTGAGCCAATAAAATCACTTTTTAATGTACCAAAGAAACCTAATATTGTATTTATTTTAGCCGATGACTTAGGTAATTAATTATTATTATTTATATTTATATTGTAATCATTAAAGAAATTTAAAAATTGATCCAGGTTGGGGAGACGTCAGTATTCACGGCTCCAATCAGATTAAGACACCAAACATTGATCTATTGGCGAGTAATGGCATCATTTTAAACAACTATTATGTTTCGCCGATATGTAGCCCATCGAGGAGTGCACTCCTCACGGGCTACCATCCCATTCACACCGGCTTTCAACATAATGTCATTTATAACGCCCAGCCCTGGGGTCTACCCCTTCAGTTCAAAACACTGCCGCAATACTTGAAACCATTTGGTTACTCGAGCCATATTGTGGGCAAATGGCACTTAGGCTTCTTTAAGAAGGAGTATTTGCCTACAAAACGAGGATTTGATTCTCACTTTGGCTTCTGGTCGGGACATACAGACTATTACGACAGGAGTTCCGGAGAGAAACCCAATGGCATTGACTTCAGACACAATGAAAAACCTGTCACTTTGGATAACTATAAAGACATGTATTTGACGGATATTCTGACAAATAAATCCATTGATATTATTATGAACAGCAGACAGACACCTGAAAAGCCGCTATTTCTACTCATATCTCACAATGCAGTCCACGCGGGACTTAAGAGGAATTCACTTCAAGCGCCAGAAGAATATGTCAATCGATTCAAACACGTGAAGGACAGCAGAAGACAAAAATTCTGTGCAATGGTCTCATCTCTGGACGATTCCGTTGGACACGTATTCTCTGCCCTCAAAAAGGCAAACATCATAAACAACACAATCGTTATATTCTCGACTGACAACGGAGGGGCTACCGGAGGAACTGGCGGTTGGAGTATTGATAACAGCATCGGGTCTAATTGGCCGCTTAGGGGTAGGCTATTATGGAGTTAACAATGAATTTTCTAAATTTTTATAATGAGTTTTCAATTGAAGGCTCCAAGTACACACTTTTTGAAGGTGGTGTCCGTGCTTTCGCTTTCATTTGGAGCCCACTATTGAAGAAAGTGTATGAAAGCAATCACTTGATGCACATCCAGGACTGGTTGCCTACTATTTATAGTGCAATCGGTGGTCAAATTGGGGATTTGGGTCCAATCGATGGCATAGACATGTGGAATATTCTTAAAGACAATTTAGAGACTACACGACAATTGCTTTTGCATAACATCGACCCTCGTTGGAAATTATGGGCGCTTAGGTTCGGTGATTATAAGTTGTTGTCCGGCCATATATATAACGGTCAGTTCGATAAATGGTATTTACCTCCCGGTGAAGACTCCGAGCCAAATATTAAACCCATTGAACATCAAGATCTGAATCACACGTCTGTATATAAGATCTTAAAAGAAGTACAACTCGT